CTTAAGATATAATGAACTAGTTGTCCTTCGTAACAGTCATCTTCATCACTTGTAAAGCAATTCCATCTTCCAGCCCCTTGCAGAGAAAGGATGGTGTTGCCACCTGTTACTTACTTAAAGCCAAACATCTTGTCCCCCTTTCTGGTGACAACTGACATTTGGGCAATAGATTGGGTTCACACATTGCATAAACCCAGGTTGTGCTTCTTTGGGTGAAGGAGCTGTCTGAACACAGCCATTGAGGCTTTCTCAATGTGCATTTCAGTCCAAGCAGCCCCATGGGAAGAACGGTTTACAACTTTTAAATGACATTTGCTCACTTCCGTGTTTCCCATTTTTTATATTAAAGAAACTCATTTAAGTCAGTATTTAATAATATGAAAAATGGGAAATTAAACAACCAAGCCAACAATTGTCATTTAAGACAGTAACTGAGTGATGAAACATAGATTGGTTCTCTTTGTGTGTATATATATATATATATGGTGGCCCTCTTTTCTTTTTCTCCTCTTGTTGCATATAATGCAGACAGATATTTTTAAATAAGAGGGTTATAATAAAATATTGCTTAGTGGGTGTTTCCCACCATTCTAACCCTGTTTTTATAATTTTGCCCAGGGGGAGAAGCTCTACTCACCTGATAAGAAACCTATTTTTTTTAAAAAAAAACTTTTTGAACTCTTGCACTGAAATGTAGCCCAGCATATGACAATCAGATATGTTTTCTGGCAATCATCTTCCTTTCATACCTTGTCTTCTCCTTTCTCTTCTTCCTTTATCTCTAATCTGCCAAAATATGGATAGTATAATGCCCCCAGTAGGGATTATCTTCTGCATTTTGTTCTATTATTCCATCTATTTCCAACAGGTGACATTATTGTCAATTAATAAGATAATCATTATCTTTTTTTAAGGAAAGGGCAGACAGGATTGCAAGTGAGTGAGCTTATAATAATAATAATAGTAAAGTTGGAAGGGACTTGGAGGTCATCTAGTCCAACCCCCTGCTCAGGCAGGAAACCCTATACCATTTCAGACAAATGGCTGTCCAGTCTCTTCTTAAAAACCTCCAGTGTTGGAGTATTCACCGCTTCTGGAGGCAGGTTGTTCCTCTGGTTAATTGTTCTAACTGTCAGAAAGTTTCTCCTTAGTTCTAGGTTGCTTCTCTCCTTGCTTAGTTTCCACCCGTTGCTTCTTGTCCTGCCTTCAGGTGCCTTGGAAAATAGCTTGACACCCTCTTCTTTGTGGCAGCCCCTGAGATATTGGAACACTCCTATCAGCAGTGGTGTTGGTGTAAATCTGGTTTCAATGCAGAGAAAACAGCACAATATCTGCACTTACTCATTGATTCTTTCTGCAATGTCCATTTGTCCTGGGCTGGAAAAGCATCTAAGGTGATGGTCTTGATTTGAGATGACCAGGCAGACATGGTGTGGAAGAAGGGTTCAGTTCCCTACCACTAGCAGCCCTTCAGAGTAGGAAACCAAAGTCATACAGGCCAAAACTACTTTTATGTATAACAAAATTTTGCAAGTCTGAGTGCGCTTCTTCCCTCCTTATTTTTGTGAGAATTAAGGAGAGTCAACCTGATGTTTTCTCAGGTTACAGTTCTGCCCTGGATCACCATGATACAAAAAAGACATTGAGACCCTAGAATGAATGTTGAGAACAAAGTTTAGGGGGTGGAGGCTAACAGTAGGATGAATGGCTGAGAGAACTGGTATGTCTAGTCAAAGAGGACTAGAGGTGACATGATAACTATCTTTCAATACTTGAGGGGCTGTCATAGAGATGAAGAGGTTGTATTATTCTTCAAAAGAGTCTGAGAGCAAGACAAGAAGTAACATGTGGAAGATCATTAAAAGAAAAACTAACGAGAAATTAATAAGGCTTACCTCCAAAAGTTGTGGGTGCTCCATTAGTGGAGTTTTTCAAGAGACTGGACAACTATGTGTCTAGAATAGTATAGTTTCTTGCTTGAGCAGGAGGTTGGACTAGAAGACCTCCAAGATCCCTTCCAACCTATTATGTTCTACAGTATATTCTACTTTCATTTGACCACTGTCTTTGTGGCAGTCTTCCACTTGTCCCTCAAGATTTTTCTTTCTACCCACTATATCCACGTTTTGTAGCCATATACTGTATGCTGCATTCCACTACATCCACATGTTTCGTGGCCATATACTGTATGCTGCATTCTTCATTTTATTTTCTTACTGAAAGTATTCCTGTGCCACTATTTGTTGCAAAAGTGGTCAACTTCATATATTGTGTTTTTCAGGCATTTGCAGAATTGCTTCAAAGTGGCCGTTTGAAGCCAACCGGAACAGATGTTGAGCCATATGAAGTGGATGGACGTATATATCTTGCAGAAGTCTCCCATGGCCTTAAGCGGCATTACTACTGGACACCAAGTTATGGAGAACCAGATAACAAAAATGAAAACGCATCTTTAGCAATAAATCCTGTTACAGAATATTTATGAATATAATTCTCCCCCCCTTCTTTTCAGGAGTGTTTTCATGTGTGCCTTGCATTAACACATGTGAGCACTTTTTCAGGTGTTTGTACCATAATCACAACAATCAATGCTGGGAATCTGATTTATATCAATAGTTGTGTCTCAATCCAGCAATAGCTAATCTGCTTGAAAGCATTTATTCTGTAGCTTTTGTATTTGTGTGTATGTTGTAATTATCATAAATATGGTTTTTATATGATTTAAACTCTCAAGTGGATTTCTTGGACATAAACCCAGCTGAGTGAATCTAATAGCGCATGTGTAATACGAGTCCAATGTTAAAATCTTTAGGATATTTCAATAAATTACATTAACATAATTGTAAGTTAATGCATTTTATTAAAAGTGAGAAGACAAACAATGCAGGCTGTAATCTTTCTTTATGCACTGGCGTGATTTTTTTATTATAACTTCTAAAAAAGGTGATAATAATACATCTCGGATTGTTACATTCTGAGTAAGAACACCAGTCATTTCAGAATCAGCTGCTGAAATGATAAAATATGATAATATATTTCAGTTTGAAAAACATGGTCTGTTCCCTGAAATGATATATTTAAAGCAGGGGTGTCAAACTCAATTTCATTGAGGGCCGCATCAGCATTGCGGTTGCCCTTGGGGGGCTGGGTGAGTGTGGCCAGGGTGGATGCGACCTACTGGGTGGGCGTGGATGGAGTGGGTGTGGCCTACTGGGTGGGCGTGGCCAGCTCTACATCGTTTGCATCAAGGGTGCCTGTGGGGGTCTGGGCAGGAATGGGACAGATCTGAGGGTCTCTGGCAGAAGGGGATGGGACCAGGGCAAGTGCCAAGGCATGGTCCATTTCTTCATTCCTCACAAAGGGTGACACCTCCTCAGCATGCACCCAGGGGACGGGGCCAATGCAGCAGGGGCTGGTTCCCCGCTATTTCTGGACGGCCTTGTGGAGCTAAGACTGAATGCGTTTCAGCATAGATGGCCACCACAAAATTGTACATTGGCTCCCGGTCGGCCTGGGCCAGGGCCAAGGCAGCGGGGGCCGTTCCCTCACTGTTTCCAGGATGGCTTCGTGAGCCACATGAAACCACTTTGCGGGCTGCATCCGGCCCCCGAGCCTTGTGTTTGACATGTCTGATTTAAAGGTATTTTCCTGAATCACAGATTGACAGAAGTACAAAACAATGAGGTGTAAAGCACATGTATTGTGTTCCTAATCTTCCTCAAAACTGATTTATACTTCTAAGTATTCATCACTTAGATTGGGTGTCATAATGTCACAATGACCTTGAGAGGGAAGGCTTCATCAAATTGAGGCATTAAGACTAAAAAGAGCAACTTTTCTGCAATCTTACTTCTATTGGTATAATTTGTGCTTCTTAAGTATATAGGTAGTATATACTTAAGTATATAGGTAGTCCTTAACATATGACCACAATGGGACCTGAACTTCCTTCACTAAGTGATGTCATTAAGTGAGTTACGCCTGATTTTATGACCTTTTTGGCATGGTGGTTAAGCGAATTTTGTTAATTTATTTGTAAGTGGTTACATGGATCCGCTTCCCCCACCAACTTTTGCTTGTTGGCAGAATGGCAAATGATGATCCCATAATTCAGGATACTCTCACCATCATAAATAATGCTGGTTGCCAAGCATCCATATTATGATCAATGTGACGGCAAGGATGCTGCAAGTCTTAAATACAAGGACTAGTTGTCACTTTTTTCAGTGCCATTGTAACTTTGAACGGTTGCTAAATGAATGATTGTAAACTAAGGATTAATTGCAGTTTGATAGCATTAGCACTTAGACTTATACAACACTTCATTGTTTTTAAGTGAACCTGGCTTCCCCATTGACTTTGCTTGTCAGACAGTTGCAAAGATGATCACAGGACCACGGGGACACGACATCTGTCATAAATATGAACTAACTATCAAGCATCCAAATGAAAATCACGAGACCATGGGAATGCTAACAGTCATATATGTGAAAAATGGTCACAAGTCACTTTTTTCTGCTACCTGTATCAGCAAGCATGGGCCACTTAGCAGTGACAGTAGAAAAAACCCTGTCACCTAAGCCAGTTACTGCCAAGTGTACGTGGATGCTCCACAAGTAGGTTAGCCATAGTCCTCATCAATCAATCCCTTTAGGAGTTACAGGCGAACAATTTGCAATAGCATCCTGTGCACAGTTATGCCGCAGTTTGTTTAATTGTGAGCTTTCAGTAAGGCAGCCTCTCTCAATAGTTTGGCCTCAAAGTATGAGAGCAATATTTCATAGCCAACTGGCTATTTATTTTAACACTCTTGGCACTGCTATAGATGGAGTTAAAAGAAGCCCATTAGCAGCCCAAACCACCCAAACCAATTATCCTAAAATCCTTGCTTGGTTTGTTTCATGTTTAGGTCAATGATCATTCTGGAATGAAGCTTTTTCAAATCACTCTTCTGTGTCTCTTTGTATCCCAAGCAACAATAGGAGGGCAGAGCCCAGAAGTATTACAAAACCAGTTTATTCAAATCTAACATTAAAATATTGCAACCTATGTACGTATACCCTCGGAGGGATGTACAAAAACAGGAAGTCAGCTACACATACATACATATATACCCATGAACGAAAAAGATTTGTAAATACGTGAGAAAAATATTTCAGAAATAATTTAAACTGGAGGGGGGGGGGTAAGTCAGAAAAGTCTTCGGAATGCCCACAATTGTGCGACTGACCTATGGCAAAAGTCACATTCTCAGCCAAGAGCTCAACATGCAGATGAAGGAAAGGTCTGAACATCCCTTTTCTTCATGAAGGCAGCATTCCTCATCAGCATCAAAACCTCTGTTTAATGGTTGTTGAATCACAGCAAATAACTGGTCATCAACCGGAAGGTTAGTGTAAGTCCAAAATGCAGTTGGCTCTTCCTTCTATCTTCCCCCCCCCCCACAAACTAGAGGGGGAAGTTTTATGCACAAAATGTAGCATACCCCTTTTTGTGACATAATCTCTACAGTATCCAGCAAATCCTTGCAGCTAGTACTTTTAATACCAGCAGAAACCATGATTTGTGAAAAAGATATCATTCAATTGTCCAAATTTTCCAAGTATCACAGTAGAAACTTCAAACTGGAAAAAAAGGTTGTATATTCAGTTATTGCTGCAATAATTTTCAGCTCTCCCAGAGCCTATGTAGTGTATAAGATAAAAATGATCTTTTAAAAAATTGCTTCATGTACAAACCACAAACCGTAGAAAGGAAAAAAAATATATAAATATTAAATAGTCAAATACAATCCAATAAAAAACCCCGGGGCAAGATTTTTGGAATTCTGAAACAATATTCAAGAGTGACCCAAATCATCTGTTTTCCCTAGAACGTAGTTTACAATGATATTACAAAGAAGTATATCCCAAAAGTATCTTCATACACTTTTCAGATTTTGTTTTGTGCTAATTGAAGCTTAGTATCACCAGCACTAAGCAAAATTATACCACAAAAGTCAGGTTGTGTATCAGAAAAATATCTATCAGAAGAAAAAAATAACCAGGTTCTCTCCATCTTCAAAAATATGGGGAGTGGTTGCCAAACCTCACAGAGATAACCCTCCTTTCCCTCTTCCTTAAACTGTAACTCCTAAATGAATCCAACAATGCTAATTATGTTCTTGGGTACTGGGGGGACGAAACACGTACCAAAACCACTTGACTTTGGGTTGATGTTCATTAGGACAGCAGTTTGGCTGCTGTTACCAAGAGCAAAATCCTTCTTATTTTTTGAAGATTCAGGAGAAGATTATTGGATTTACCAACCAAGCGCATCAGGCTAGGAACATGGTTCCTAAAATCAGAATTACTGAGTCTCTAGCTCTCCTGGTCCTGAAAAATGCACGGAGATGCCTTTTAAACTCTTCTCTTTTTCTAGGTCTTACTCGTGTCAAATGTCTACGCAATGATATTCACATCCAATGGCAACGTTCATCCTTTGCATACAGTTCTAAAAACTCCCAGATTCAATAATTGGGATATAGCTCTGTTACCACACGGCACACAGATCTCTTGCCTACAGGAACTGGAGGGCAAAATGTATTGGTTCCTTTAAAATTATGCAATGTAAGGAATACAGTTCACTCTGTCTGAATCTGGATTCCTAGTTACTGGATTATATTTAGTTTTGCGCATAATACCATACACCTACGTAAGCCTATCTAAGTGGGTACTTCAAATCTTAGCCAAATCAGAATTTGAATTTGATATAGTTGTCAGAGAGAGGGTAGAGGTTGTGTTAGTGCTAAAACTACTATGCATTTAATAAATGTACTTTTTCTTATGACACAATGAATTTGCATTTGCTCCATTGAATAAATTTGTAAAAGAATGGAATCCTATTCAAACATTTCTCCATCTCTTTCAATATTCCTGGCTTGTATTTCCTAAGGTCTACAAAGAAAAATAAGAGATCATACTCTGTTTAATGTCAACTTACCAGCCCTTTTTAAAAACATGTACTTATCAGCAATTTCTTAAGAGCACCTCCTAGTCAAAACATGAAGACAGAATTCTAAATAAATTGAATCTTTGGTTGAAACTAGCAGGTTAATTCTTTTACAATGTAGAGCTCCTTAAAGCACATGTATATGGCAAGGAGTGACTGGAAAAAATAGTCAGCCACTTGGCATCTCCTCACAGAAACACTTGGTATTACTAAATGAAAAACGTAACTGCCAACAAGAGCTAAAAAAAGATTTGTCATTTTTGACTCTTCTGTGGAAATAGGAAGGAACAACTTCTAGAGCTTGCATTGAATTTTTGCTAAGAATTTCAACTGGAAGGGAATTGCTTTTTAAGAAAAGAAAAAAAGAACCCAACATGCCTTTAGCAGTATAGAAATGATCAGTGTGGATATTACATAGGGTTTGGGGCAGCTCTTGTTGTGCAAAGATTTTATAATCCATCAGAAAGGATTGATCAGAATTCAGTTATGTATTTAGAAACTGATTTGGTATGCATGAACCGCTCAAAATTTTAAACTGGGTGAGCACAAATATTTCCACAGCAGTGATCAAATAGCGTCCCAGAGAAAAGATGGATTCTAGGTATTTCTTCTTCCAGCCCCTTCATTTTTCTGATAGCTGTGGAAGAAATAAAATTCTTTTTCTACAACTAACATGACAGAACAAACTAACAACCCTCTCAGAAAGCTACTAATTTTTGCAAGAATACTGATAAACCAGAAGAGCTTTTCTTAAATTTGTAACCAAGCCATTCCAAAGTTTTCAAGCCCGGGATATCTGAAACTGGAACCAAGTAATCGGACTATCTGAATCCATATAGAATAGGTAGCAAGTCAGAAAAAAATTACTTTGGGTGATTCTAGCTTTGAATTTTATCCCTAAGAACTGAAATCTGACTTCAAGGACATTATAATTATATTATTCATTATCGATGGAGCCAATACATAGCAGAATCACTGATAATAACTTATCAGGCTATTTAGCTGATATAGGCAACTTTGCAAATTTCTCTTTAGACAAGAAATTCATCTAGTGGTCTACATAGTAATCATTGTTGCAGCTTTCTATATCCAATGACTTAATCCCTCATTCAAATTTATCTCTGCTTCTGGAGAAACAGCATCTTCTTCAGATAGCATCCTCTGTCCCAAGATCCTTACTGTCCATGACAGAAAAGTTGACATCTTGGAAATGGGACAACTTCCCCATCTTTTGTCCACTGGCATCCAGTTGTATCTGCAACACTCCATGGAACATACTGGGCAGCTGCTGCATCTATATTGGCTGTTTTCAGAGTTGCTTTCAATTATTGTTGGGTTTGTTTACTTCAAAAGCTAAGTCATTTAAAGTTTAAAAAGACTCCTCCCTTATTTCAGTTCAATGTTTTTAGTTTGAATACCTTGGCTTAGTTTCTGCATGAACACTGAAGGATCTTCCCCGTATTAAATGGTTTAGAATTCTTAAGGCAGATGTTGAAGAAAAACAAAAGCTTTTTTTTATCTCCTAGAAAATGCAATCTTGATTCTTTCAGGTGAAAATACACAATCTTTGTTCTAGAATAACAAAATATTACAGAAAAGCTGAACTCAAAGCAAAGATGCATCACTCAAAGTCCCTAATCTGAGATGAAATCTAGCTTATCCACAGCTCCTTTTGATAAGAGATGCTTGCATTCCTAGAGTTTTCATCACTCACAGTTGTCAGTACAATTGTTGGAGGAAAATAAACTGAGGTTCTGAATATCCTGTGATGGTAGATCTCAGGAGTGTGTCGGATGGGGGAGACTGACCATCTGTGACAGGTAGCAATATCTGATGGTCCTCTGTTCCAATGGGCAGAGGCAATATGTCTGAAGGCTTCACATCAGCAGACTCCAGCAAAAGGCTTTTCTCACTTGGAATTGAATCTTGCTCGCTGAAGGAAGGGTCAAGTGCAATGGAATCCAAAGGATACTCGGGATCTGAAAAATCAAACAAAACTGAAGAATTACTCTTGAAAATAAAGAGCTATTTAATTTATCACATGTAACATGGGCCCAAGGAACATTAGATTTATATTTATTTTATATTTATATTATATATTATAATATTATATATATTATTAATATATATATATATAATATTTATATTTTATACACACACACTTACACACACACACACACACACACACACACACACGTACACTGACTCCTGTTTTTTCTTCTGAGGTTGCTGGGCCCTGCAAAATATCCTAACCAGCAGCCCCAAAAGAAAAAACAGGAGTCAGTGTGTGTGTGTGTGTGTGTGTGTGTGTGTGTGTGTGTGTGTGTATCAAACTTCTTAACCACCCATCTCCCTCACAGAGAAGCTCTGATCAGTGTACAATTTAATCAATACAATAAAACATTTCAACCAAATAATTTAAGATTAAAAATTTAAAAATGTAAAACAGTGTTGTAAAACTGCAAGAGATGGAGAGATCGAAGATGGGGAGACTAAGAGTTGTTAATACAGGGGGAAGGAGGGGTTCTCCTGGCAAGGCTACACAGCTAGGTTTTGACCTCTTTGTGGAAAGCCAACATCTGAGGGCAAGATGTTTCACAAAGCAGGGGCAGCTTGACCCTACCGGTTGGAATTCTCCGATTGACGGATCCATAGCATGTTTGTCCTGCCTGAACGAGCAGGATGGACTGATGTGATATAAAGGCTTTATAGGTAATGACCATCCAGCAACACCCAGCATAGCAATTAGCTTCTAGATTTAGAAGAATATTTGAAAAAGTTGTTTCCCTTTACTTCTCAATCCACCCCCATAAAAGCTAACATAGCTACTGGCACTAACGAGAATTAGACTGCAACATATTATTTATTTTTTAGAGTTATAGCTTATCCTTCATTCAGGAGCTCAAGGCAGCACACCCCAGTGCTCCTTCTTCTGTTTTTCCCCACAGCCACATTCCTATGGGAGAGGTTGAGTTGAGAGAGCAACCGGTCCCAAATCACCCACTCAGTTTCTGTGGCATAGGACCGGCTAGAACCTGGAGCTCTCTGGTGCCAGTCTAAGACTTTAACCACTGAGGCACACTGCCTCTCTTTTTTAAAAAGTGTTACTGAGGAAAGGCTCTTCTAGATCTCCATCAAAAAATCCCAACTGAAACTATGGCTACATCTGTCTATATGTTGTGAAATTAAAGAATTTTCATCATACCTTCTGGCACAAGAGAAGTTGTGTAAGGACACTGCAGCAACCCAGAAGAGCAGAAAAAGGAAAGAGCATCTATACAGCATATTCTAACAAAACAGATACCCATGCAACTTTATCAAAAAGTCCCTGACCACTCAACCCAATACAGTACAGCCAACACAAACCCTAAAAAGAATTACACTGCCACACATCAAGAATATCTCAGAAACCACCAACTGACTCTTACAAACACATGGAATCAACATAGCACACAAGCCAACTAAAGCCCTTCAAAATATCCTAAGCAGACCAAAAGACGCAGCAACCCCAGAAGAAAAAACAGGAATCATCTACAACACACAGTGTCAGGACTGCAACAACCACTATGTAGGACAAACAGGCAGAAGATTGGCAAAATGCATCCACAAACATCAACTAGCAGTCAGAAGATATGATGGAAATTCTTTAATTTCAAAACACGTAGACAGATTTAATCATAGTCTCAGCTGGGAAAATATGAACATCCTAGACTAAGCCAAGTCCAAAAATGCCAGGGAATTTCTGGAAGCCTGGCATTCTGACAAATCAGCCATCAACAGACACATAGACATTATCAACATCTATAGACTATGCAAAAGAGACTATCACCTAGCCCAAAAAAGAACAAAAAGACCCAAGCACCTCTCCATCAGCAATCAGCACCCAGATCAGCGTAGATTAACTCCAAGGTCAACTTCGGACCAACAGTCAAGTAAGCAATGCCCCAATCAAGAAACTGCCAAAGAAGTCAATAGCAAATAACCCAACCAAAGAATCTCTAAGCTAACCCCCACCAACACTGACAGGCAAGCCACTAGAACAGTGGTTCTTAACCTTTTTAATGCCGCAACCCCCAACCGGTTGTAAGTCGAGGACTACTCAACCGGTCGTAAGTCGAGGACTACTCAACTGGTGCAGCACCGTTTGCAGAATGGGACTTTTGGCGGGCTCAGCAGGGCAGAGATAGCCTGGACAATTCCTATTGGCTTTTGAAAGCCAATAGAATTAGACTCTATTCAAGAGAGTCTATTCTATTGGCTTTCAAAAACCAATAGAATAAAAGGGAGTAGCACAGCTAAGGAAAAGAGGAAAAAAATGGCGGACTGCATTGTTTGGCGACCCCCGTGAAATGGTCGTTCGACCCCAAATGGGGTCCCGACCCACAGGTTGAGAACCACTGCACTAGAATATAAACTGACAGTAAATAGCACTCCTTACCAGCACTGATGATGTTATCTAGTTCGGGTAATGAAACATCTGCAAGAAAACAAGCAAGCTCAGAGAGCACCAAGGACCTCTCAGGTCAACCCTGAACTACAAATATTCTCTAATACTAATAAACTAATACTTTCCAGCTCATAGGCTTTTATCTACTTAGGGCAGTGATCCACAATCTTTCTGGCTTTGCGGACCGGCGGCGGTGGGGGGAAATGGCTGGTGAGAGTGCAGTACCATTTGTACCAGCGACGGGCACATGTAACCCACTGCTTGCACAAATGGAGCTACACGCGCTCGCCCGCCGCTTCCATGGCTCAGTTCCAAATGAGCCAAGGCTCAGTAGTGGGCTACAGCCTGGGGGTTGGGGATCCCTGATTTAGGGCAATGCACGGTGAATTTCAGATAAAACTAGAGTTTGAAATGCACATTTTGTTTTTAAGGATTCCAGCAACGGTCATAAAGGTCTATCCACTGATGACTGAGATCCTCAGTTTCATGAAATAATTGCAAAGAGGTGGCAGGAAGATAAAGACTTTTAGAGCAGTATACCTGAAAAAGCAGTAACATCTTTACAGATATATTAACCCTTCAAATATCTGTACTTCAAATACTACATAATTGTATTGTCTTCTGGAACAACCACAACACCCAGAAAGATACCCAAGGACCCATACTGTAGCTGAGGGGTGGGTGGGTGGGCAGCAGGAACATGTCTGACACAGATATCACCTTAAATCTTCCAAGTATTTGATTGTAGTATTAAACCCAGTACTAGAATAATGGATTTTTGTAAGAATAAAGGAAAGACACGAAATTAGTTTTACAAATTACTTGAGATTCAGCCTTGCATAAAAAAGCTAATAATGATTAACCTGCACAAACAGTACAGAGGGTCAGAGGAGGGGGAAAAAAATCTTTTCAACTAAAGAAAAGCAGTACTGAAAACATGATGCAATACTCTTATATTTTCCTCCCCGTTTTTCTTTTCCTGGTTCCAGTTTGTTTTCTTGGTTTTCTTTTTGACATTTTATGCAGGGATAGATGAGCAATAGAGAATGTCAAGACGTCATTAAAAAAAAATCCAGCATTTTACTTGGTTAGCTTAGAGGACTGATACTCAGATTTCTTTAAATAAATGCTTTGATATTCTAGGCTATACAAGCATTAGGTATTAAAGTGACCGCTTACCCGAATGAACTTTCAATTTATGTTTCTTTAGGTTCTTGATATCTGTATAGGAATTTCCACACAATTCACAGATAAATGGTCTTTCACCTTAAAACAAAATTTATAGTCAGACTCACCAAATTCCAATATAGATATTTCAACAGGAAGGGGGATGAAATCACCACTTAGCAAATGAGCAGTAGGGTAGCATTAAGCAACATTTCATGCACAAGTAATGAATTTACTAGGAGTTTCATGTCTAAGATTTCACCTGTATGAGACCGGAAGTGTTTGTTAAGTTCTCCTGAAGAAATGAAGCTTTTGCCACAAATGCCACATATATAAGGTTTCTCTCCTGCAGGGAAAATAAGTGATAAGTTATCAGAAAATGATGCCTTTCACCTACAGTCTAATGTAGGCAGCATAGTTTATTTATGATATATAGAACGGTCTTAATCAGACGTCTGGTCTCCAAACTTTTTAGTCTGTTATACTTTCCTAGTGAGTGTCAAAGACACATGAATCCATGTTTGCCTTGCAAAATCATGCCTTCAGGTTCCATTTTGAATAGCTCCATCAGCCCAGTAAGTTCTCCCCTAATTCATTTATTTCAGGATTACCTGTATGCTTTCTTGAGTGAGTGATGAGTGAACTTGAAACTGCAAAAGTTTTCCCACATGTATCGCAGACATAAGGCTTTTCTCCTGTGTGTCGTCGCACATGGTAAGTCAACGTGCTTGCTTGTGCAAATCGCTGTCCACATCGATCACAGACATATGGCTTCTCTCCACTGTGTTTCCTAAGGTTAAAAAAATAAAACATACTATCAATGCATCAGTGGCTTTTCAGCAAACATTTAGCCACATTTCAGGTGATGCTCATTCACTCACCTAGCATGGATTTTTAGATTACTTGAAGTTGCAAATTGCAGATTGCAGGCGTCACATTTGTATGGTTTCTCCTCTCCATGATGCATTCGGCTATGGAAAACAAGCTGGCATTTTTGAACAAAACCTTTGTCACAGAGTTCACATTTGTATGGCTTTTCACCTGCGAAGGGAATTAAGATGTTCCTTTAGCAATGCCTTCTAAAGGGATTTTTTTTTTTTTCATTTTGGACAAAAAGTAATTGTGGACAGAGACAGGGAGATATGGCTGAATTTCAGAGTGTGGGCAGGACCCCATCTGGTGGCATCGTTCAGATCCTACAGAGGTCCATCTCTTTGGCTGGTAACCCTCTTTATTCCAGAAATAATAGCACTTTGATCTATTGCAGGGGTTTTCAACCTTGGCAACTTTAAGACTTGTGGACTTCAACTCCCAGAATTCCTCAGCCAGCTTTGCTGGCTGAGGAATTCTGGGAGTTGAAGTCCACAAGTCTTAAAGTTGCCAAGGTTGAAAACCCCTGATCTATTGCCAGTAATTAGATGCAATGGAGAGATGTTTTTCCTGATTATCCAAAACCATTTAGCTGTAACTGCCCTGTAATGCTGGAAAACTTTTTGCCAGAAATCAACCCCTTAGCAAATGTTCGGGAGTTCTAGATATTGTCTTTCTGCTTAATTAAGGCTTAAACCTTTGTTGTTTACTCCACTGAGTCTTGGAATGATTACACATTTAATAGGAAAGAAGAGGTAGGTGTGTATGTGTGCGTATGTATTCCTTTCATGATTTCACAATTGTTTATCAAGTCAGATTTGACATTCCAAGTTTATATATCATTACATATATACACCATCCATCTCACTGTCAAGCAACTCTGTGTGGCTTATAACATCATAAATAACAGTATAAAACAAATAGAAAGTTAAAAACATTGACCATTGAAAAGTTGCATAAACATAAAGTTGCACCCTGTTTATTGCAAAGACAATTCAGAGCACCAGTTATTTATTCATTAGTTCTAGTTCTTTTGTATGGCAAAAATACTGTTTAGAAAGATATGGCTTAATTGTCACATAACCCTCACAAAAAAAACAACAACCCAATGGAAGGAACTCTGACAAGCTCACACTATTACTTACAAAGATGACTTTAAATACTGTACATAGGAGCCTCATACTACAGCTTCCATAGCCTACCAGAAAAAGGAGGGGGGGAACTGTTGTGGATTTTCTTTCACAGTGATCAGTCTAAACGAGTCCTTTTCTGGTGAAGTGGTAGCTACTGGTTTACAGCCAATGTGATACTAAAAGAAAAATGATTTTTCTCACCTCTCCTTCCTTGTAGCTGTCTTCAGCTTTCAGTTTTAGATTCTGGGCATCTATCCAGCTAGCACCTGGCCTGTCTTTCCAGCCAAGCAACATGACCTTGGATGTCTTCCTAAAACACCGCCTGTGAGAAACGAAGCCTTCTTTGCCAGTCTTTCGGTTCACAGAGAGCTAAGAAGGACATTACTGTAATCCTTTTCTGTCGTTTTGCTTCTCTCCTATGTTTCCTGGCCTAGGGACTCCCTGTCTTAGCACTTAGCCTCCCCCTTCCCTTGTCCAGCCCTTGCCAGTTACTACCAGTATCACGACTGGGAGACAACTGCTTGGGAGCAAATTCGGCAGGACCAATATAAGAGCTCTCTGTATTTTTCCTATTCTATCACTCTCTTTTACTGCTAGCTGCCGTGACTTTGGCTGATTTTATGCCTGAGCTGGTTTTGTGGCTGCTGCTTGGACCAGATCCAGTGTTGGCACTTAGTCGCTGTTCTTCCCATTGGAGAGAGCTTGCCAGGTGCCAAAACCAAGCACAACAGGGAGGCTTTCTCCTTGACTGAGCAGACTGGTCACTCACACCAGTCAACTCCTTGGAATTATGACCTCTCCTTCACTGGGGGTCAATCTTTCTGGTATCACCACAACCTCTTTAAAACTTCAGCTGCTGCTTTAAAGCTGAGCAGCCAGACTACACTCTGGAGCCTGGTTGCTTCCTCCTTATCAAGCCCCACAACATAAAATGTATGCATTCTTATCTTCACTGAGTCTTCAGTTTTCTTCCCAAGCCTCTTCCTCGGTGTTCTTAAGCATTCTTCCACTCCACCACACCAAATCTTCAGCTACCATTATGTCATGATATGCCATCAACACACCATCACTCAGTTGCCAGCCCAACTTCTCTGGAATGAGCCTTTTTAAAGCCTTTCTGCCTCACGCATGCCCTGTCCAGGTAAATGTTTATGTACAAGACAAGTAAAGGGTGACACCGCAGGGCGACACAGTGCTTTCACTCAACTGTCTCGTCATAGAAGCCATAACATTCTCTAACATTTTTTACAATTATGGCAAAAACAAACTTACTGCTTACATCAAAGCAGGTCTACACGGTCAACCAGAACTTGTTCACCAGCGACCAGAAACCATTTTATTTAAAAAGATCTGGAAGAAGCTCTAACTATATTTTTGTAACATTGTGGGGGATTTTTTTTTTTTTTTGCTTTACTTTTCCTTTACTTACTTGAAAGCACTTTTATAACGTCCTTGCCTGAATAGTTCTGGCAAGAAACAAGGGATACAAATTTTACACAAAAGGTAGAATAATAGCTCACAAATCAGTAGACCTGTTATCAACAAATAGATCTACTTTCAAGGACTGAGCTTTCTTCCCACAAACTACATTTTGTAAAACTTTCTATCTCTCCTTGCAGTTTATGGAAGAAAGACATACAGATATTTCTAGTTTCATTTGATAGGATATACCTGCTTCCTTGGAAAAAAATAATAATCTGAAGATGAAGAATGTTACTGAATTCTGCTTATATTATAACTGACCACAAGTTGGCAAAAGGAGGGAAGAATTTATTTGAAAGATGGGTGACCTTTCCTGCTCATTGTGACAAGAAGTAACCCCCAACCCAAACAGAGAGCCTACCTGTGTGAGTTCTTACATGCGTTTTCAGCTGGTTGCACTGTGTAAACGCCTTGCCGCAGAGCTGGCACACATACGGCTTGACTCCCTTGTGAATCCGCATGTGCCGTCTCAGGCTACTAGATTCAGAAAATACCTTCCCACATGTATTACACACCGGCTTGGCCTTGGGGTATTTCTGATCCAGGTCTTCTCCCAAGCTCTCCAACTGATAGGAGTTCTTATCACTAGTGATGTTAGATAAGCAGTGCTCTTTCAGAGCACAATTTTGATGTGGTTTGCCCTTTTTTGGCTTCACAGCCATAGCCTGCACAAGGATTTCTTGAGCAGCAAAAGTTTCACTCTCTACCACGGGGGTAAGTTGCAGTTCGGAATTATCACCTCCTTGAGCAGCCTGTTCTGTTATCTCGGTGGCCAATTTATTTGCATCCAAAAACATCTCCATGGCAGAGTTTTCTGCAACATCACCTGGATATTGTACTGGCTTGCTTGGTGGGTGTTTGGGGGAACTGAAGGCCTTTTTCCGTTTTTTGGATTGAACTGATTTTTTTTCCAAGGCTGCTGTTAAGACTGGAGACTGAGTTATATCCACTGAAGGGGCATCTGATTTCTCCTGGTTATTGTAGTCACGAAGTGTTAGCAGGCAAGTCTGTTGGTTCAATGCAATATTCCCAGTGATACTAGAAGTTTCTGTAGAAGAAGGATTAGCAATAAAAGCAAAGTCTTCCATTTTTATTTTACACTTAGTGACTACTTCCTCCACTTTAAGATAGTCGGCAGCCTGGTGAATTTCTTTAACATTCCAACTGCAAGAAAAAGGTACCATATGCAGAAAACTGATGGTCTTAAAAATGCATAAATATTAAATTGAGCAAACTGATACAATTTTTAAACAAGATTTTAAAAATCTATATCAGAAATGAGCCTTATAACATGCTACTTTTTCCTCTTTTGAAAGGCCATTAAAATAAGCATCAGTCTTAAAGTTATGTCACTGCTATGTAACCCCATTATACCAATCAACTCATCTGAACTATGCAGTCTAATTTACTGTTATTCAGATGAATCAAACATGATTTTGGACCTTAGCTGACACAGAGTATGAGACAACAGAAGTACTACCACACAAAAATATGGTAAATATTAAGACACAAGATCCAATGCTTAGATGGGCCACTGGGCAAATTCTAAACCTGAAAATATCGAAGTCAGTTTAGCCGACAAAAATGTGCTAAATAGAAAATAATCACGAACAATTTTTATATTTCACCAAGTGATACTAACTGAATTATTCCTTCAGTCACCTCTGTGAGAGGCAGAGTGATGTAGCGATTAAATTATTAGGACTAGAAGTGGGGAGATTCAAGTTCTATCTACTCTCAGTCATGGAAGATCATCAGGTGACTTCAGACTGCCTCCCACAGTAGTCCTTGTGGGGACAAGTAGGAGAAGCAAGTATATAGTTGGCTTCTTCTGAACAAAGGCAGGGTATAAATCTAATATCTAAATACATAACAAGGGGTATCAGGTCTAATTCCTTGTAACAAGCTGTTGTCATACAATCTGTTAAGCTGTTGCTTATTAGGACACTTGAATCAAGACATTTTCTCCCAACTTCCTTAATACTGATTTTTTTTAAGTACACCACTCTTATAACAGAGGATTTTCTACCATGAAGAGCTTGCAAATTGGATCAAACCAATTGTTATGTAACATTGCACATCACCTTGTATATACTAGTTTCCTCTTCTGTGACATCTTAACTTACATTGTAATTTATACCTTAAGCAAAAACATTCTATTTACTGATAGTTCTCGGTCTAGTATTTCCTTTAAACACTAAATAAATCTCCAGCCATACCTATCAAGGTTTAAATCTCCTGTGTATATGAATTCCAAAAGTTTCTGAAATCCATCAGCCTTCACTTGATTCTGATCCAGAAATATATTACTCTCTGAAGTATCTCTGTAAATAGCCCAAAAGTATTCGCTAAAAGATGCAAGAACATTTCGATGAGCCTTGAACTGGAATTCACCAATAATGATGGTGCAGTCACAAAGAAAGCCCACTTCACGCTGCCTGTTCAGACTTTCCAGTAGGTGCTCACAGTGGTGGGAACACTGCATTTTGCGTAATGATGCACAGCTTCTTCCCTTTGGCCTGAGATGAAAAACAAATATATAAGCATTGGGGTCCCTAGTTCCAGTAGAATAAAAGGAATAACACAAACCTCATTCAAAGATTTGTCTCCATTTACTATTTTTCTATTATTAAGACAACAGAATCTAATTATTATGAAGAAAAGCAAAATGCTCAGACAAAACTAAAACTATTTCCTTCGCCAAATACAACATCCCCACAGGTGCTGTAGCCCACAAAAACATTTGCTGAGAAAAGATGTTCTAGAAAGTATGAGTATTCCCTTTCCAAAATAAGCAAATTTAAATCACATCAAAAAGGTAGCAGGTTAAACATTGTTTAGAACGCAATGAGAGATTTTGAAAAGTGGACTCTTTGTTTGCTAACCAGAGACTGAATAAAAGGAGTACCTTATTAGACTTCCTGCATCATCAGAGTAGGTTTTCCCAACCCCATGTATATTTGGCAGAATGAATTCAAGAAGCCAAACTTAAGGATTTATCTCAGTTGCACAGCTCAACTGAGAATCTTCCTATTTTATGCAAAGGGTGTTATATCACTGCCTTTATGTAGGGATCCAGATACAAAAGGGCAAAATGTGATTTGGACTGCCAGTTAGCACATGGACCCTCTGCATTCCCCCAAAGACACCTTTAGTTTTTGGTGTTCCTAACCGAGATCTATACAGGTGACCTATTTATTTATTAAATTTACTGGCCATCCATCTTACCACAGGGTAACTTTGGATGGCTTACAATATTAAAAAGATAATATACAAATAAAATACTACAAAAAGTAGGATATGCAACCCTAGCTAACAGATGGGGGAGGGAGCAGGATGAGCAGGAGGAAAGGTGGGATTGTGTTATTAATCTAATCAATCTATATGGAGTGGAAAGTTGGACCAGGACTGGAGAGACCCAGATTCAAGGGCCTCACTGGGTGAGTTGGGCTCAGTCCCCCTTCCTCTCCCGAACTTCCCCATAAGGCTCTTAAGGGGTTACCCCCTGTGCAGCTGCATGGGGTCCCTGGGGAGACAGGATGCCTTTCCTAATAACTAATACATTGAGGGGGAGGCGGGGATGATGGGGAGTTTTGGGGCAATGCTGCAGAGGGCACCTCCTGGGGGAAAACCACTCTGCAAGAGCAGAACAGAAACTGGCACCAGCATCTTGTCAGCTTTCCCTTTTGCCTGAGAGTTGGCTGACGGGGAAGAACTCCTCTGGTCCAAATTTGACCTCCCCAACTGCCGGCTCTCTCCTGTCACACACGCCCGCCGGCTGGACTACCTCCTACCCACTTCTTCTCCTCGGTCCTTCGGACTTTTCTCCAGCAAGCCCGGCTATTCCTTTTCCTTCCCCTCCCCCCCGCCATCCAGCCCAAATGGTTCCGTCCTAGCCCGCTTCCTTCCCCCCCCTCCCTTCAGAATTACTAGGCAAACACACCTGGCAGGGGTGGCAACGCGAGAGCGGAAGCCTCTTCCGCTCAGGGCGCCATTTTGTGATGACGCTATTGGCTCCGCCTCCTTGGTTGATGGCGGTTCAAGGCTCACTTCCGTTCGCGGGACAATTCCAGCCACGAAAGAGTGGCGATGGTTGCGGTTGAAACCGGGGCGGAGCTTAATTACGTAGGGAATGGGCGTTTCCACAGTATAAACTACATTTCCCATGATGTCTAGCGCCATAAACTATCAATTTTTAGGAGGTGCGAATGACTTTGTAGAAAAATATGGCCGGACAAAGTGGAAATTAAGTATAATATGTTAAAAATCATTGGAATGTCTATAGTACATCTAGAAAGAGGAACGCGCATTAGTCATAGGTACATAAAACCATTACTCTTACTTTTAGGCCGCCAAGTCGGAAACAAAAGTAATAAAGTTATTTCAAAACCGCACTGTTGCAATATTAAAACGCTGCACGGTTTTTTTTTTAAATTATCCTTTTTTTAAAAAAAAAGTTATTCTTCCTAGCCGTTGGGAACATGTATAGTAAATATTAAACGCAAATTTATTGCAACAAGTTATTTATTTGAGGGAAAGCCCATTGTTAAGCAATTTCTGTCCATTATAAATTACCTTTGAAAGAACATTGAATAAATAAATTATATAATCCCCACGTGTCTAATCTGGATCGGATAGTTTTGGAGATTAAAATGTTCCCGCCCGGTTTCGAACCGGGGACCTTTCGCGTGTTAGGCGAACGTGATAACCACTACACTACGGAAACCACCATGCCAACTACTTGGCAGTAACTTTCCTTATGTCTTTACTTTTACTATGCCTATGCATCCTCAAACAGAATTCGAATACAGCAGAAATCAACAGTGAAACCAAATATTGAATCACAACAAATCCTAACTAAAATACAGATACCGCGGTCCCAAATGAAGACTTCCTCCATCAAGTCTTCCTGCTACACATTTATAGGATAACAATACCTAATCGAAACGTCTGCAAGCAAACAAATCATGTCAAACACCAAAGGTACCATCATTCAACCCTGAACTACGTATATTCACAATTATAGAATAATTAACAATTATAATTACAAAATAATTATTAGATTGTCTTCATTTTCTTTTCTTAAAAATCAAATTACTTATGACTTGATAATGACTGTCACTCATTGAGGCAATTGTTGACAATTAAAACGGTATAAAAATAAAAATAAATTGGTAGGATCATTATATTCTCCAAGACCCTATCTAATTAATTTCAGAAAAAGATGTTCAGGTATACCTTATAATCACACTTAAGTGGGAGTGAATATCAAGTTGAATACTGTGGGATTTCAGGAGTGAGCAAGTAACATTGGATTTGAGAGACTATTAAATGCAGATTATTCCTTTCTCTCACGGAAGGAATAAAATTACTATCGCCTCCTTATTTCCACTTGATTTCTAGCTGAGATCATTTGAACGTTAAGATAACATCTGCACTGTAGAAACCTGCACACATTTTTCTTTCTCCTTTCTGAAGAGCAGTTAGTTGGACTTTTTATTTCCTAATAAATAGATACTTTAATTATCTGTAACTACCACACGGTACCTGGTCCATCAAAATAAATAGCACCATTTACACAAACATCTTCGTGGTAGGTGTTCCTCTCCCTCTTCAAACTTGTGGGAGTGGAAACCTTGTGCCACATTTGGCAGAAAGCATAGTTTCAATCTTGCATTAAAAAATCTTGGATTGTTTCCTACAAAAGCATTGTAAGAAGTAAAAAAAAAAATGTGCTAACATGAAAGATATTATAATTCCCAATGACTGAGCTGAGACTTAAAGATGATAGTACATTATATTCCTTGGGATTATTCATATGACATACTTATTTGTTGTCAAATTATTTTGCTGTGCGATTAATCCAGTTTTCTTGGTCCAAGTGGTATACTGAACTGTAAACTTACTCCAAGAACCAAGCTCCCACAATACTCCGGGCTAAAAGATGGTTTGAAGCAGGGTCTTCAAACTTGGCCCTTTTATGACTTGTGGACTTCAACTCCCAGAATTCCTCAGCCAGGCACGCTGGCTGAGGAATTCTGGGAGCTGAAGTCCACAAGTCATAAAAGGGCCAAGTTTGAAGACCCCTGGTTTGAAGCTATGGCTATGCCTGCAAATTTGCAGTCACTTACTTGGAAATAAATCCCATTGGCTTCAGTGGGGTTTGCTTCTGATTAAATTTGGGATGGGGAGATGATGAGTTCTAGATGTCTGTTACTATAGTTGTGATAGACACTGCTATATTTTCAAAAAAATGGAAAGCTACAGTTTTCTCCTTCCTGATATAATCTATGGATTCCAATGAACAGTCATTGTGAAGTGATTGATGGGTCTCATGTGGGAAAAAAGAGAGTATTTTTACATACTTACTGCCCCAGTTTTAAGTGGTGAAATGTTTCAGGCATGTTAGTACTTGCTTATCATTCTTTGCCTTTCAAATGGAAAGATCATTACATGTCTTTTTTTTTCAAACTGGAAGAAGATTGTTTGAGTGATGACACTTCGGTAATCTTGTTTATATGGGGCTATAGACTAAACATAAGATGAGGAATTTGCTGTATTAACATATTGCTGCCCTAGGCGCATCAAAGTACTTTTTCCAGGAAGAGAAGATAGTTTTGCCCACTTCCTCAATCCCTGCTCAGACTCTATGCTTTTTAAACATTCCCCATGCCATTCTCTTGCCATTGTCTGTCTCCAAAAACTGAATAAAAACCCACCGGAATTCTTTTGTTGGTATGTTATATCAGCAAACTTATTTGACAAGTTGACCCTCAATCAAAATAGACCATTTCCTTTTCATCAGTTCTTAAGAGGTCTTTGCTTCAAGATGCAAGAAAGCTGTACTTTGAAGTATTTTTCACCAAATCCTAGAACCCATAACAATTGGCTGTTGGTCATGCGGATTGGAAATTGTCATCCCAATGCAAAACTGAAGGTCTGGAGACTAGGAAAAGCAGATTTATTTCTTTCACTCCCCAAACTTATCAGGGAGATGATTAGTGGGATAATGAAAAATATTTGCTTCCCAGAAAAATAAAGTGCTTACAAAGAAAGTGCCACAGATTTATTATTTATTTATTATTTATTTTTATTAAATATAGAGTCCTCTTCCAATGAGAAACAAGTGGTGGGTGAGATCCAAGCTCAATTTTGTTTTTGTTAGTTTTAGCAACACTTGGGCTGCAATTCCTAAAATCAGCAATGCTGTGAGGGCAGCTTCCCAACTGGACTTAGAAGCCTGAGACAATTGGAACCAGTCAGAGAAAGGCCAGATATGTCTCAAAAAATCAAGACAGCTGTTTTGATGCATTTTATTTATTTTCAGTGTAGGTTGGTTCATTTCAGTAATTTTAAGTAATTTTCCTTTTTCTGTTCCATTGTCTTAGTTGGTTGATCTGTTTACAGATATTGGCTGATTTCTATACATAAACTTCCCAGATTCATCCTTCCCCTAGTACTTGTCTTGTTTCAATTATTAAAATAAAAACCATTCTTATCCAATATTAGGTTTTCATCAGTCCTGCACACTCCGCAATCTCTTGGGCTCAGGGGAAACCAGGGCTAAGTATCAAAAACTTTAATCCTGGGAAAGAGGGATATCCTGTTCTGCCCCAGGGTAAAAGGAAGGCACTCCCCCCCATTAAAAAAAATCTGCCCTGATGGTTCATGCTTAATCACCCTAGTGAGAAGTTGGAATGATTGGAATGGGAAGTGTCAGCTTGTGTCATGTGTCTGTGTCTTTGGTCAAATTTAAGCAATTTCCCATTTAAATTACATGTTCCCTAAGAGAAAAGATTAACCACAACTGCACAGTTCTTGAAGCAAGAAACAGACTTCACTAAAGAATGCGGAGAAAACAGAATCATTGAATTCACCCTATCTTATCAAAACATCTATTCAAGGCCTTACAAAGCTTTGCTCAGAAGGTATCATAGCAACATGGAGGTCACAATAGCCCAAGCAACACCTGTCTGGAGAGATTGTTAGCCTTAATCTTTCCCCAATATAAGACAGGCCCACTGAGGGTCACATGCTCTGTGCAGGAACAGGAACCATCAACAAGGGATGGGTGAGCTACCACCAGCTATAGTTTTAGACAATGGCTCAGGCCTGCTCAAGGCTGGTGTTGCTGGAGATAAGGAACCACGTGTCATCTTTACCAACTTGATAGGCCGTGCCAAGGCCAAGTCTGTAATGCTTGGTGCTGGCCAGAAGGATTTCTACATTGGCGATGAAGCACAAGCCAAGCGAGGGATCCTCTCCCTCAGGTGCTTAGCAAACACTGGGGAATGTAAACAATAGGGGATAAGTTAAGAGTTTAGCTGGTCTGAAAACCATGTTAAAACTATTTAGTTAGGGATGGGAATGACTTCAGAAAAAGGAATCTTAGGAATTAAAGGTTGGAATGATGATGTAAGAGAAGATGAAATTTGCATGAACATAATTTTAGGCCAGGTCAATGATGTTTATAGTACCACAATGGAAAAGGGCTATTCTGGACAATAGAAAGTCAATTTGATGGACTAAGGCAGAGGTAGGCAACCTTGGCTCTTTTATGACTCGTGGACTTTAACTCCCAGAATTACTCAGCCAGCATGGCTGGCTTAGGAATTCTGGGAGTTGAAGTCCACGAGTCATAAAAGAGCCAAGGTTGCCTACCCCTGGACTAAGACATTCTGTGATGATTGACAGTGAGTTCTGGTATTAATTCATGTAACTGGATAACTCAATAATTGGCAGCAATTGGCAATCTTTCAGATTGGTCATGCTGGTTATACGTACTGTTGGTTGGAGTTCAATGTCTGGAAAGGCATATATTGTCCATCCAGGTGCTATTAAAAAGAACTAGAGGTACCTATGCTGGTTTTTGGAAGGCAATGAAGGGTATCAGAGATTCTTCTCTACCCACAATAATAAAATCCTGATTTTCCACTATGCTATACTATGACAGGGTTGCCACAACTCAGTCTGTAAATGGGAAATCATTGAGAAATACCAGAATTAATATCAGAACCAGAAGAGGACAGGAGAAAACATCTTAGCTGAAAACAATGGCAAGCCGTTTCTTTATTGGTGTTTTCTCTGGAGGACATTAGATGAAGGAAACTTAAAAAAAAAATGTTTTTAAGAGAAGATGACTTTCCTCCAGATTGTAATCACTTCTCAAAATGGGAGGAGAGACTTAGTTACTGGCGTACATCAATTTGAATTATTTATTGTCAAAGATTGCTCCCTTCCCTCTTTGCTGTTACTATTCAGATATCCCAACTATGATGGCTATTTTTTTCTTATTTAATTTAACAACTATCATGCGTCTTTGCCATGATTTTGTATTAACATACCAAATGTTAAAAATAAAGATCGGCTTGGCTATGCTCTTAAAATCTGCCCGCTTATGTAAAAAAATGAAGTTCATTTGGAGCGTTGCAGTGTTTAATTAAGCATAACAACAGTTTAACTCTCCTAATTAGGAACTATAATCAAAACTATATGGTATGAATAATTACCCAGTCAATTAATTTCTTTAAATGGCCTAGTTTACAAAAGATTCAGAGCTAAAGACAAAATATCCATAGTCAAAAGATGGGGGGGGGGGAGGGCAGAGAACCAAATAGATTATTTTGTCTACCAAATTAGGTGCAATTGATTCTGGAAATGTTATTATCCATCTCCATACACACACACACACACACACACACACACAGTGCAGAAATAGAAAAGGGGAGAGATTGTAGCAGGTAACAGAGCAAAGGAAGAATTCAAAACTTTTTTGTAATAGGTTAATCATGATCCACTAGAAACAGACAATAAATAGTCCTCCAATGTCACTAAGCTGAGTGAGCTTCCATCTTTCTTTAGCATTGACCATGCTGGGTATTAAAGTCAATGGGATAAGATAACTTTTAGATAAAGTAACTTTTATTGTCATTTTTACTGTGAGCACACTGGTCCACATTAAAAATGAAATTCTGTTGCCTGCTCTCAACAATGTATATATCTACCATATCTATACATAACACATATATGCACATGCTATATAAATACATATATACTTATACCTACACCCATACATATATGTACATTATAAATATTAATCATTGCCCATTTTGAATACATAGGACAAAGAAGAAATTTAAAGGTTCACAAGGTTGATACTAGGGAACAAAACTATGACTGAATCTAGATGATCTGCTTTGGATACCACGAAGCCTCTACCCACAAGCAAAACAGGTTGTGAAGAGCATGTATAGCATCCCAGACAATCCTGAGGAATAATATCTAAATATGCACATGTTGCCCATTACTGATCTACAGCAATTGATTTCACACAGAATTTTCTACCCCGTTATAATACATAAAAGAAAGGTCACCCCACAAAGCTTATTGATAACATTCCATGTATATATTCCATAAAGATTTAAATGCGTTGCTTAACCCTTAGTCTGCTACAACTTGCAAAACATTAGAAATAGCAATTAAAATTCTGACAAATGACTATGAGCCCCAGGTGCCATTCTCCAGTTAACCAAGGAGCACCATGGATGACTCTTGGCTAATCATTAGTTCTCAGCTCAGCTTATCTGACAAAGTTATGAGAATTCAGATGGAAAAGAAATGACTATACACACATCATCCCAAATTTCTATAGAAGGAAATGAGAAATATGCATCTAACAAAAATATAAACAGAGTGTAACTAATATTAAACTACTACAGTATCCTTTCTTTGACAGAAGGACATTCTTTGTTATAAACTGGGATCCATGAAAACTAAAGATATTTGGAACTGAGAAGCGTTGACATGGAAACATGTCCTTCGTGAATTTTTAGAACTTTTGTCTTGTCCCCTCTCCAGTTCATCATGTTTTAGATATGTGCATGCTTGTATGTAGATTGCACAAGCTATACTGATGTTAATTAAACAATCCAATAGGTTCCCTAGATGTTTTCACATATGACAATATGTTGTAAAGTAATGTCGTCACCTTCTTTAATTCTCATTTATATCCAACAGATATCCAGTAGAACATGGCATTGTCACTTCCTGGCCAGACATGGAGAAAATATGGAAGCATACTTATGAGAATGAACTGAGATTAAACTCCAGCACAAGACCTGCACTGATCACCGAGGCACCACTTAACCCATTATCCAATCGTGAACAAATGACAAGGTTGCTCTTTGAAAAATTTGAAGTTCCAGCCCTCTACGTGGCCATTCAGGCTGTGTTGGCCCTCTACGCTGCAGGTCTCACAACAGGTTGTGTGATGGATTCTGGGGATGGGGTCACTCATACTGTCCCAATCTTTGAAGGCTACTGCTTGCCTCATGCTGTTCTCCGACTTGACCTGGCAGGCCGGGATCTTACAGATTATTTAATGAGAATCCTGAGAGAAAGCGGCATTGCCTTAGTGAGCACAGCTGAAAGGGAAATTGTGAGGATCATCAAGGAGGCCTTGTGTTATGTGTGCTTAAACCCTGAAGAAGAAATGGCTAAACAACCTACTGCAATAGAGAAAACATGGAAATTGCCTGATGGTCAGATTATTAAAATCCACAATCAATTGTTCCGCTGCCCAGAGACCCTTTTTCGCCCATCTAACATTGGCATGGAAGCACCAGGAATTGATAAACTCTTATTCAATACCATCATGAAATGTGACATTGACTTAAGGACCACTCTGTATGCCAATATCCTCCTTTCTGGTGGCTCCAGTCTTTTCCCTGGGATTTCAGATCGCTTGACTAAGGAGCTGATTCGCATGGCTCCCAAAGACACTGAAGTCCTGGTCCAAGCACCTCCTGACAGGAAGATCTCAGTGTGGATGGGAGGATCCATTCTTGCTTCTCTCTCAGCCTTTCAAGAGATGTGGATTTCCAAGGAAGAATATGCTGAAATTGGGCCTAACATAGTACACAGGAAGTGCTTCTAGATTCCTGTTGCATTGAAACATTTTTATTTAAAAAGCTGTGGGAAGAACATCATGAAACACTTGGTGAGATTTATTGCCTCACCTTTTTGAAAGACAAATAAAGGTAACAATTCCATGCCTGCTTCCTTAGGCTATATGTCTGTAAATATCCTATAATGCCATGATTGCTTCAAATGTATTTTCCTTGTATATATAGGCTGGGTCATACAATACAACACACAAAACGTAGGGTAACAAATATGTTGTAGCCATACAAATAAACCATACTATAGCATAGCATGATGGCCTTGTTTATGCCACATGTTTGCACAACACACTGAACAATTATGCCATGTTTGCACAACACACAAGTTAACCAACCCCCTTTAATTTAACATACTGTGAATCCTGATAAAACATACACGCTTGTAGTTTAAAACATGTGATCCTCAATTCAACAGAAGACTTCCATTTTGTAAATAAATATTTGAACACTCTAATTTTACAAAAAAAACACGCAGCTTGGAACTGCTTATAGTATATTCTTAGACACTACCTTAACAATTCCTAGGTCCTTATTTAAAATTTGAATTTTTAAGTTTCCTACACTCTTAGACTGGGAATCTAACGGTATACGTTACTCATGTAACCAAGGATACTGTGAGATGTAAAAACCCCAAATTTTGATACAAATTTTTAATTTTTAAATTTTTAACAAAACAAAGGTTTATTGGAGAATAACATAAACAGAATAAAAGAGAAAAGAGAAAGAATAGAAGAGAGGAGCTTTTGCAAACGCGGCCCCCTGGATCCTTCCCTATGGATTGGATTCCAGGAGCACCCCGACCTGGTTTCAGGTTTTGCATTTTATAGCCCTACAATGCATTGTCACATCTCTTTCATCTTAATGGTTTTCTCTGAAGTGGTACTTTGTTAACCTGACCTCTTCCGTCCATCTGCTGTTATCTTGTTTATCTGGAAGTCTCACTTTGGGTTAAAATCCCCTTCTTTGATAGTAGGATTTCCACTCAAAGTGTAATTTCCTATGTCAGGGAGATTTTTAGGCAGGATATAGTAAACATTTGGTCATATATTGGCATTGCATTGTTACATTTGTGTTACAGCATTACATTAGTACTAAAGAGACAGTTTCATATAATGGCATTACATTTCTACAATTATTTCTACAATTATTAAAAGAATAACTTTTATTTCCTTAATTTTTATTTCCTTCAATACCATGGTCAATGATATTGAAACCACTATTCTGGCTCTGTCGCAGGTAAATCATCTAGCATAACCAACGCTGTCTAAGGCAGGAAAAGGCACTGCCTTTGAAAAATAAATAAAATATCCATAAAACAATAGCAGTAATCTAGCGTAATATAAAGAATGTGTTCTGCTTCTTGTTCCTAGGGAACCCAGAATCTTGCCCTAGAATTTAGGACATTTACCACTTGCATAGAATGACAAAACAAATGAGCCTTACAATATATTTTTTCTATTGTATTCCCATGATGCGCTGCCTTCCTGCCCCCAATCTGTGAATTATCTTTAGCTATATCAATGTTAAAATAGTTTTTCTCCTTAAACTTACAGCATTCAACAACATAAAAAAATATAATCTGTTACTCTTTATTGTGTTGAAAGCGTAGTGGGAGAAGCAGTAGTAAGTGGGATTAGAGAAGAATTTATTGGTCTTTCCAGGCTGATGAGAACACACTTCCTTCCATCCAGTCTCCAGCAGCTTCATCTGCCACCATCCTGTTGTTGTCTCCCAAAGGAGATGGACACAACAGTCCTGGCCTAGTGATGAATAGTACAATACAGGTAGACCTTGACATACAACAATTGATTTAGTGACTGTTCAAAGTTAGAATGGAATTGAAAAAAGTGACTCATGATCTTTTCCACACTTATGACCATTACAGTATCCCCATGGACACATGATCAAAATTTGGATACTTGGCAACTGGTTCATATTTATGATGGTTGCAATGTCCCGGGGTCATCTGATTGCCTTTTGAGACCTTCTGATGAGAAAAGCTAATGGGGAAGCCTAATTCACTTAACAGCCATGTTCCTAATTTAACAACTGCCATGATTCACTTAACAACTGTGGCAAGAAAGGTCCTAAAATGAGGCAAAACTCACTTAGATATCTCACTTAGCAACATAAATTTTGGGCTCAATTGTGGTCATATGTTAAGGATTACTTGTAATAATTCACAGAGAGCAATACTCTAAAGTGTTGTGACTCTGTTGCCCTTGCTGGTTTAGATGAGGGCTGAAATGGCACAACAGAGAAATAGGGTAAAATAGGATAGAAATCCTGTTCCCACTGCTTCCCAAACAAAGACACAGAGGAATACAGAACTTAGCATTTGTGGTCTACATTTAAAAAAAAGGGGGAAAAGAAAACAAACCTTGTTCATGCTAGAGTTTTCTCATGTTTCATTCTATTTTGTTTTAACTTTATTCCACTTATTCACAACATATTGGAATGTTGATAATGGGGCACAAGGAACTTAGAGATTCTGTTCCTGCAGAAGTGCTGTGACTGGCAAATGTTTTTCTACCAGCTGATGACCTGATGGAAAACAACAAAGCTAAAGGGTTCAACCAGTTATTTAGCTATCACATATGGCATACACAAAATCAGGACATTATCATTTGGTAGTGAGTCAAAACAGACTCAATAAAGGCAAGATGGGATCAACCAATTTGAAGCTTGTTTTTTATCCACTCAAGAATGGGTGAGAAGTCGTGGTAATTAACTGTGTGGAAAGTTGTTAGAGATAAGTAAGCCATCTAGGAGTATCTACCGGCTGAGATTTCTTTGTAAGAAAAAAAAAAAGATGGAACAAGTGTTTGAAAAGCATTCAGCAGGAATAGGCAACCTTATGGCCAAATTTTGGGAGTGGGGGATGGGTTAGGCCGAGGACTGCAAGATGGGGAAAGAGACACATCAAACATCATGTTAGGATTAGACTTGATGGGAAGTTCTGGGCTGTGTCTGTTTTTAAAACTGTGATGTTGATTTTAGGGCTTAATGTTGAGGGAAGTTAGCCCAGAGAAAGAAATATTAAAAAGGGCAGAAAAATATATTTTTTCCTCAAAAGGACTTTTTAAAACCAAACCTGGCCCCAAATCTATCTCTCTGCCCCAAGCAAGACTTTAGCCCTATACAAATGCAGATGTAAAACCATCAGAAAGTTGAAGCCAGAGCAATCAAGAAGACAAAAGAGAAGATCTGCATACCCCACCCAAACTCTAGGAGTCAGCCCCATCACCTGGGAAGCAGGATATGATAACAGAATTAAACCACAGATATCAAGGCCTAGACAAACACTCAGAAACAGCCTCAAGGTTCATGCCACAGGAACAGGAAACTTCCAAACAAAAGGCTAAGGAGGGGTATAAAACCTACTGCCCATGTGCTCAATCTCGCTCTATCTTCTCTCCTCTGTACCTTCCTGAAGACTATCTTTCTGCAATAAATTGTAACCTTCTTCCCAAAGCAGTTGCCATGTTTGCTTATTTATTCCCGGCTTAGATGAACCAGGATGAAGACCTTACTTCTAACAATGTTTAATCCCAAAATGATAATAAGATGCTTTTAGTTTTCATTCTATCAGAACAGGCTTGGGAGGACCATAAAGAGCGATTTAAAGAGCTCATATAGCCGGGAGTCACAGGCAGCCATCCTTACACACAGAATTGCAAAAGAAAGATGAGATTGTAAAACCCTTATCAGATCATGCCTGTGCCTAAAACTGTTGAATGATTGCAGGAAACTCAGAAACTTTTCATCCGTTCTTCCCAAATTCAGCTAATCTTTCCTCATGTTTCCTGCTCTTCTTGTTTGTTTCACAAGAGAAATATGGCAACTCCATACTACCAGTGTTTCCCAGCCTAGCAAATTCGTGATGCATGGCTTTTAGCACCCAGAATCCCTCAGCCAGCATAGCAATTGCTGAGAATTTGGGAATTATCCGTATTACTGAAAGTTGATATGGTGGAGAAACACTGACACTTTCTGAATTTATATCCTTCACTTTGCCAGTTCTGTGTGGCATGCTGCTTTTTAAACAAGTTCCTCATTTTAACATTTGCCTTTTTTGTTTTTGAATTTTTATTGATTTTCCAGTTTTACATTTAAATATTTGAAAAGCAACGTGGCAGCTGGGTTGGTACATTAAATATTTCCTCTCTTTTTCCCTTGGCATTTACTGTCTCACATTTAAATTAATACAATTCTTACTATATCAACTTAATACAAATAACCTTTTTACATTTATCAATAATTTTTAGTTTATACATATCTTAGCCATTTTAACATTCAATTTTTTAGACAATCAATGTCCTGGTACATTTTCCCCAATTTTTAACCTGGTACGTTTTTCCCAATATTTAAATTTAACATTTAATATTTATAGTTTCCAAGTTTTAAATAACCCCAATTCCCTTTATCACAATTCATCCCAAGATCTTACATCAGCTGATTAATAATACAATATAATATTCTTATTTTCTAATAATTTCCGAATATCTAAATTCAATAACCAAAATTTCTCTTATTTCAACATTTAATACTTCCTCTTTTTTTCTCAATATCTCATATTTAAGCTAATAATTTTTACTATTACCACTAAATAAAAAAACATATGTTACATTCATCAATACGTTTTTAGTTTATATATATTTTAATTGCCTATATTCAATATTCCAATTTAACTGTGTGGCGTGCTGCTTTTTAAACAAGTTGCTCATTTTAACTTCTGCCTTTTTCAATAGCTGAACTGACTGATACCAGCTTTTCCCAGGCCTGATATTGTAGTCCACTATTTCTATAGAAATATGGATTATTGCATTTGCCACAGATTAACCTTCCCTAATTTAGCACTCTAGAAGTCTGTTGGATTTCCAGCTTCCAGAATATCCAACCAGAGACCAAGAGAAACCAGGAATTTATACTTCCATTAAGTCCACAGATACCAAGGCAAAGCAAAACCAACTCTTCCTCCTTCCTCCCTTCATCAAAACAGGATTCTGGTAGCACTTTTTCCAAGTAATGGATTTTATTAAGACAAAAACTTTCCTGACCTGCAGCCATTTATGAGATGCTACATCACA